TTTGCCATTTATAATGGGTTTGTGTACTTCAACTAAATTTTTTATTTCTTTTTGAAAATTGTGGTTTATAAATGTACTGTTAAATGTCCATTTGTAATTTTCAAGATCTAGGCTATTTTATACTGTATATACCATGGTCTCTCTGAATACTCAGTACAGATTGGCTGGTAGGTATGCATTAAAACTGATTAATGCACACGTTCCAAGTCAGTTTAATCACTGTTCTGTATTAATGTTCTGCTTTAATTGATGCACACACACACACACACACACACACCATACACACAGAGAGAGAGAGAGATCGGTGATCGTGCTGGGCACACACAGAAACTTGTTGTCAGTGCTGCCCCACGATTTTTAAAAATAAAATAGCCTAGATACTGGATCTCTACATTATATTCTTCAGCAGTGAGGTGGTAAAATTTATGTTTTTGAAGTAACTAAACACAGCTTCATTGTTTGTAGAGAGAGACACGCAGACGGAGGTAACTTACACACACAACTATTATCTTTCTCTCTCTCGATCAATAATTAATTCAAATAAATGCTGTAATTCATTCAAATAAATGTGATCTTACCGCATTATTTCATCTCTGTGTCTGATTTAAAGTGGGCAGAATGCTAGAGCTAACAAGCCGTAACTGACAAAAATAACCGTCATTTACCCTTCCAGTCAAATATTGCACTGCAAACATCATTAATAGCTTTAACTTGGAAATGCTGGAAAAAAAGACCATGGCATAAGCGGGATAATGCACTGCTAGTTTAAGATTATTGCTAGATTATTAAATAATTTTAATGCACTCCACGGAGGCAACCACTCTCCGCTTTGTGTTGGGTGATCCTTGGCCTTCACATCGTGCATTAAAATAGTTTATTGCACAGCTAGCCATGCATTATCCCTTACACACACACACACACACACACATATAGTGAAAGTGAAGAGACGTGTGGCCAAGTATGGTGTCCCATTCTTGGAATTTGTGCCCTGCATTTAACCCATCCAAGTGCACACACACAGTAGTGAATGCACACACCCGGAGCAGTGGGCAGCCATATTGATATGGCGCCCGGGGAGCAGTTGGGGGTTCAATGCCTTGCTCAAGGGTCTCACCTCAATCATGGTATTGAAGGTGGAAGAGAGCGCTGGTTATTCACTCCCCCCACCGACAATTCCTGCTGAACCTGAGCCTCGAATTTTGTATATATATATACAGTATATAGAATAAAAACTTGTTCTCTGTACTTTCTTTCACATCTTTTCTCAGTGAGGAGAACCTTCTTGCATGTGCTTTCTTCAAAGACACTCACTTTTTTATTAACACACCACATGATGAGATGATACTTGATTAGTATGAATTAAAAAATATATATATATATATTGTCAGCAGTGCCACTGGGTATCTGTTAGATGAGGCTGTTTGAACAGAGAAACTCTTATGTAGCTGTATTGGTGTACTTCTTCTAGAAAGTCCCTTCTCATTAATGAAAGCTTTCTATGTCTCCTCAAGTGCTGACAGAAAATGTCTCAGGTTATGTATGTAACCATGGTTCCTCGAGGGAACGAGACACTGCGTCGGAGAAAGCTTTGGGAACGCCTTCTCTGACCACGCTCTAAATCACATGCGAAATCAGTCCAATAGCTGGGCGAGACGTCACGGGCGGGTGACGTAATGACCAGGAAGCTATAAAAGCACGTGCGGCGGAGCCGGCGTCAGCTTCAGGAATGAAGCAAGCGCTGGCAGGGATGCCGGAAGTATGGCACCGAGACGCAGCGTCTCGTTCCCTCGAGGAACCATGGTTACATACGTAACCTGAGACATTCCTCTTCTGGAACTCGAGCTGCGTCGGAGAACACTTTGGGAACGAGAATGCCCATGCCGCCAGACTTTCAAATCTCTGCCTAGTGTGGAAGCCTGCACAGCTAGGGCGAGAGAACAGAAGAGCCAGGAGTGGCTCGCATATCTAGATCGTAGAATCTGCTTAAGGTAATGGGCGTGGACCAACCCACAGTGTTGCAGATGTCCTGCATAGACACACCTGCTAAAAACTCTGCCTAGTGTGGAAGCCTGCACAGCTAGCGCGAGAGAACAGAAGAGCCAGGGGTGGCTCGCATGTCTAGAATGTAGGACCTGACGAAGGTAATGGGCGTGGACCAACCCGCAATGTGTTGCAGATGTCCTGCATAGAACACCTGCTAAAAAAGCCTTAGAGGCCGCCACACTTCGAGTGGAGTGAGCCTTGACCCCTAGCGGCGAGTGGAGATCAGAGGACTCATAAGAGATAGATATGGCATCCACTATCCACCGACTGAGGGTCTGTTTCGTAGCTGGAAGACCTCTCTTAGGGGGACCGTAGCAAACAAGCAGTTGGTCCGCCCTCCTCCACAGGGCAGCTCTGTGCTCGCACTGGACACATACAATTAAGCTTCTGCTGGTCTGGCTCCCTGAAGGGAGGAGGACTGAAGGCCTGGAGTACGATAGACTGTGGTGCAGATGAGGGAACTTTAGGAACATACCCCACTCAAGGGTACAGAAACGCTTTGGCCAGACTGGGCGTAAAATCAAGATAGGAAGGGGCCACTGATAGGGCCTGCAAATCCCCAACTCTCTTAAGAGAAGATATCGCCAGAAGAAAGGTAGTCTTTATATTTAGGTTAGCGATCAGAGATCTCCTCAATAGGCTAGAAACGAAGGCTTACAGAGAGCTTCTAACACGAGATCGTACGAGAGGCCTCAGCCTCAGCGCACCGCTCCCCGGGCCTCGGCCCCTGCCTCGACAGGATGTCTGCTTCCATATTGAGATGCCCAGGAATGTGAACTGCTTCTGCCTCCGGTCCCGACGCGGGGGAGCGCGGGTGGCAACGCTCTGTTTCTGAGCCTCCCTATATGAGGAGCTGGTACGCGGAGGGACTGCTCCCGCCCAGCAGCCCCCAGAGCTAAGACGCGGGGAGGGTTTACGAGCCTCCTGGTACCTATCCGGCGTCGCCGAACAGGCCAGAAGGCGCAAGCGGGGCGTCGAGGAGGAAGACCCTGTCTTTCTCTTTCATGTCAAACAGGGTCAACCACAAATGCCTCTCTGCTGCCACTATAGCTGCCATGGACCGCCCAATGGCGCGGGCGGTCTCCTTGGTGGCGCGGAGAGAGAGATCAGCGGTTCTCCTTAACTCTGCGATATTATCAGAGCTAAGCACACCTCAGTGTGAAGGTCAGGGAAAAATAGCAGGCTCCGGCATGAAGGTGGTGGCCTCGCGCGCAGGAAGCGTTCATCTAACTTGCTTCGCTGCGGCTCGGCCTGCTTCTCAGCGGGCCAATCAATCTTTAACTTGGCCACGGTGCGAGTAAGCACCTCCACTAGCTCCTCATACTGGGGCGATTGAGGGGGCGAAACCTCTTCGGCGCCCTCCACGTCAACCTCCTCGGAGGAAGACAGGTGGAGCGTCGAGCCCTCACCCCGGGAGGAAGTAGCTGCAGAACGGGCTTCCGAACCCAGAGATCGGGCGCTGGATCTGGTGGGTGATGAAGGAGATAGGGCCTCGCCTGTCTCCATTCCCTCCACCAGATCCAACTGCGAACCCCACGAATGCAGCCGCCACTCCACCTCGACGGAAGCGGGACCAGCACCACGAGGAACGCTGGCGAAGGCTCCCTCCTCAAAGAGCCCTCCGGGAGCGAAGTGTGTGCAGTGGGAGACGCTCGCAATGCGGGCAGCCGCCCCCCTCGAGAGCCGACTCTGCGTGCTCCGCTCCCAAGCAAACCACGCACAGACTGTGTGTATCCCCACCCGTGATGTAGCGTGGGCAGGGAGGAACACACAGTCTATAACGTGGCTTGCTCTCGCCCTTTGAATGCTTTGTCTTAGCATGAGCTTTAGACATAGTGGAGCTTATAGTTGCACTTTTTTGACAGACAACAATAAATAAGACCCACAAACTTAGAGTTTTGACCGACACACACAGAGCGCTTTGCTGAATGACAGAAAGCTGACGCCGGCTCCGCCACACATGCTTTTATAGCTTCCTGGTCATTACGTCAGCTGTTTTTGACGTCTCGCCCAGCTATTTGACTGATTTCACATGTGATTCAGAGTGTGGTCACAGAAGGTGTTCCCAAAGCGTTCTCCGACGCAGCTCGAGTTCCTGAAAAGGAACTAACAGTGCTTTCAGACTCAACTTTTAAAGAGGTTATAGTCAGGGCCGCATTAAGACCGCACTGGGCCCCGGGGCTTCAGCCCCGCCTAGCCCAATGGTTAAAACGGCCCTGGTTATAGTAGTCGTAAAAAGTTTGTTCAGTATAATGTAAGAGGAAATCTTTTTATTTGTATATAGCCTCTTGCTGTCTGTTGAGAGAGGATTGGACTCAGTTTGACATGACAAAATATTTTAAGCACATTGAATATTAACCACATAGCCAGAATAGAGATAGTATGAGCAGGAGACATACATCAAATCAAGCATCACTTTGATCATGCATGATGTAAGTCTATGGTTGCATTTTATTTTTTGCATTTAGCATTGTTCTTTCTGGAGGGCCCACACCTGATCAAACACACCTGATCCAGCTAATCAAGCTCTTCAGGATTACTCGAAACTTCCAAGCAGGTGTGATTTGGAGCTGGTTGCAGCTAAACTCTGCAGAGCTGTGGCCCTCCAGGAATTGAGTTTGAGACCACTGTTTTAAGTACAATATCTATACATAAGAAGTTATATCTGCCTTTACATTTTAGAAAGAAGCATCCTTCGTTTGGAGGACGAAATATTGTTGACAGCTATTCAAAAGTGGCTGTGTAAATATTTCATCATTACACAGCCACTTTTGAATAGAACCACGTTCATATTCGCGCGATTTTTTGCGCAGCTCGTCAGTGAACAACGGCTCTGTGTAGTTAATGCTGCTCAATGTGAAAGCACGCACGTGATGGAGATTTACCGCTGATTACAGAACCGGCTTTCTGACAAGATGCGCGTTAAATATCGCATGCGATTTATCGTGCAGCCCTACTGTCAACAGAGAAACATGCTTTTTGCAGGTGTCTGCCAGCAGGTACGAACGAGCCAAACTTTGATCAGTTTACTCACATACACGTGCCTGTTATTTTCAAGTAACGCCAAGAATTTGATTAGCCATTGTGTTTGATTAAAACTAGACATACAGTAAATCAAACACTCAGAAACACAGGTGGTGCTTCAAATATTGTAGTACCAAACTTTAATGTGAAACGTTGAAAAAAACAAAAAACAAAAAAACCTTCATCAGTAAAGTTTAGCTTAATGCTTTGCCAGTAACTTGACTGATCCATCATCACTTACGCCCGAGCAGATGGAACGTCTCCTAAATGTACATTTTCAAATTCTCACTAATACCTTGTTCTCTCTATTTCTTTCTACCTCTTTCTGCCTTTCCCTTCTTCCCTTCCTCCCTGGCACACATGCACAGCCTGGTTGGCAGGCCTTTCCTCCCATGAGAGCTTTCACTTTCTTATGCGGTAGAAAGCAGTTTAGCAGTCTCCTGCCTTCAGAGGAATGGTTAAATCCCTGCTGCCTGTCTTTTGAGGGTCTCGTGGGATTCTGCTCTAACAAAGCGAGACTGAGAGACCCTTACTAGACGCTGTTCCTCCAACATAGACATGGCTCCAAGCATTTATATTGTGAATCAGCTGTTTGAATCTGTCAGTCATTTAATGCGACACAAACATGTCTGTCGGACTTCACTCATAATATCTAGGTGTGCTGATGGGAGAGTAGAGAGCTATCCATTAGCATTCACATTCATCTCAGTGGCAGGTGCTCTGGTGCTGACAGGAAAGTCAGGAAAGACACAATATAAAATCAACAATTTTGAGGCAATCATTGAGACGCATGAAAAATCATGAGAATGATTGACTGATGGCTCCTAAACTGGCACTAGTAGTGACTATCCTGAGCTCTGACGTCAATGGCAGCAGATGGACATTTCACTTTTTTTCCCCAGATTTCACAAGTTTTTGTCTCTTATGTTCACCAAGGCTGCACTTATTTAATCAGAAAAACAGTAATATTGTGAAATATTATTACAATTTTAAATTTGATATTTTTTCCTTTTGGTGTTAAAGCTGAATTTCCAGCAGTATTTATTTAAAAAAAAAAATTTTTGTAACAATTTACTCTCATTTTTAAAAACTTGAAGCTTCCTTTCTAAATAAAAGTATTAGTTTCTTAAATAAATAAATAAATAAATGCATAAAAATCTTACTCACCCCAAAACATTTGAATGGTAGTGTTTACTGTAATATGCTTAATAAAATTGAATTTTAAGGTACAGTAATGAAATAGAATATAACTTTAATTAAAACTGTAATGTAAATTCAATAATACATGTAATATTAATTAATATTAATTCTAGTGCAATTGATTAATATTAAATATAGTATAAAATTATTCCACATTAAATAATAAGTTAAAATAATAATAAAAAAAAGTTATTCCAGCTTAAATTCATCTGTAAGGCATGTAAGCTGAAGTTGAGTGGAAATAGCAGGAAGTTTGAATGCAGTTCAAATTCCAAACTGAAAATGATCCGAATTCTGAGTTTTGCCCTTTATAAACTGACTTTTTAAACTCAACCGCAGAACAAAGAGCTCTTCACAGAATAGCAGGAGTGCAATGTAGTACTTTTTTATACATCACAGCAAATATGAGCTGTAGAACAAGAGGCCGACCTCCTGAGACGGATCATGTTTATTATACATGACAATATCAAACCAGCAGGGCTTTGATCATTCGCTACCGTGTGTGATCATTTCTAGCAGTTGATCAGAGGGAACGTCAGCACAAATGAGTGTGAATGTGCTAAGCTAGCGCCCGCACAGGGACCTCATGAGTGTCAATGACCACATTAGCGTTTGGAGGTGAGCTGACGGATGGAGAGGAGGATGAGGGTGCAAATCAAAGCTGAATGAGGGATTTAGAAGGTGTGTCTGTCTCTCACCTCTCCATTGATTTTAGTGAGTGAGTGTGTGTTCAATCAATGTTTCTGTTATCGCTCAAAGAAAATTAAGTAGGGATGTGTCTATTTCTAGATGTCTTTAATTTTTAACAATCATTCAATGCAGAATTTTGCTGTCGTTCTGTCATCCTAAACACTTTTACCCACTATTGCTTTGACCTTGCTGGTTCTGTGTCACTTTTCATCCTGCAGTGATTAACAGCTGAGGTTCAAGCCCTGATTATTATGGTCAATGTTAATCTTTGTATCTGATGCAGTGAGCTTGGAAAAAGATATACATGAAATGTTTAAATCATATCTATCTATCTATCTATCTATCTATCTATCTATCTATCTATCTGTCTTATATAGGTACTCTTCTGAAAACATAAAATAAAATAATACATCTAAATCAAATTTTCTTTGATAATTAGAAAGGTCAAAATTAGATTTATTAGAAACAGAAATCTGTTGTAACATTATAAATGTCTTTACTACACTTTTGATAAATTTAATGCATCCTTGCTGAATTGAACTTTGAAAAAACAAAACAAAAAACAAAACAAATATATATATATATATATATATATATATATACTGACCACAAACATTTCAATGATAGTTTAAATGCAGTATATATAATGCATAAATTAAACATGATAATAAAAACATTAGAAAATTTTATGTAGGTATATATCGCTTAATATTAACCTTACTGTTTTTTTATATTTTGATAGATATTAATGAATATTATATATTTTATTATATATTTCATTTATATCTAATTTTCCCTTGTCTTACCTTGATTTAAGGGTTGTACTTCTTTAAATAATCACCCTTCTATGTTCTACTATCATGTCGTTCCAAATCTGTAAGACCTTCGTTCATCTTCGGAACACAAATTAAGATATTTTTAAAGAAATCCAAGAGCTTTCTGACCCTCCATAGACAGCAACACAACTGAAATTGTTGAATGAAGTCGTTATTTTTGTTTTCTTTGTGCACAAGTATTCTCGTTTAGCTTCATAAAATTAAGGTTGAACCACTGATGTCACATGGACTATTTTTAATGATGTTCTTACTACCTTTCTGGGTCTTGAACGTGTCAGTTGCATTGCTGTCTATGCAGGGTCAGAAAGCTCTCGGATTTCATCAAAAATATCTTAATTTGTGTTCTGAAGATGAATGAAGGTATTATGGATTTGGAACGACATGAGGGTGCGTAATTAATGACAGAATTTACATTTTTAGGTGAACTATCCCTTTAAATATGTATGTATATCAATACTGAATATCACACATTAAATATATTATCAAAAGGTTGAAACATATGGACAGTCTTAGAAAATCATTTAACAAGAGTACATTTTAACTTGAGTACTTGAATACATTTTGAAGTATCAGTGAGTACAGTATTGGGTAACACTTTATTTTGATGGTCCCTTTTGAACATTTTGTTGACAATAAGCAATGTTGCACCTACATGTCTACTAACTCTCATCAGAGTATTAGTAGACGGTTTGCTTAATATCTGCTAACTCTTTATTGTTATGGTCTCCCAACAAACATTCTACTGACTATAAGTAACGTTGCAAGTACATGTCAACTTATTCTAACCCTAACCCTACCAGTCTACTAATACTCTACTAATACTCTAATGAGAGTTAGTAGACATGTAGGTGCAATGTTACTTATAGTCAACAGAATGTGTTAAAGGGACCATCAAAATAAAGTGAAACCCAGTATTGTAATGTAAAATTTTCTCTGTTTTTTTTTTCCATGCTGGTAATGTCCTCCTCCTTGACATCCTTTTCAAAACCTTTCTGGACCTGGACAATGCTGATGTGGGACTCCTCCGCTCCTCTCCTTGGGCCACACAGGTAAGTTATCTACCCATTTGCCTTGGCAGCACTGCTATTGTAAATGAAGCCCTTGATCTGTCCTCTCGTGTGAACTCCCTGCGGAGGGCAGCGGGTAAGACAAAACACTAGCTTCAGACAAGGAATTTTGTACAACAGAGATAAAAAGTACTGCATAGGAGATCAGGGTCAGTCTTTTTCATTTTTAGCATTACGTCTTTGTCAGCTCGCGTGAATGCCTTTTCTTTCTCTACCCTTGGCTAATAATGGCATGTGTCCTGGGAGACTCTGTATGGTTTTGATTTGTAGCACTGCATTCAATCACTGCAGTCTTTTATCAGGCTAATAGGACATTCTTCCATCTTTATGCGACTTTGTGTTGTGTGGCTCACATTGTCCTCAAGGAGTTTGGAGCTGCGGTGTGTTATTCACTAGCGCCATCGAACTGAACTGATAAGCTGAAGAATAATGATTGTGTTCATACAGGTTTCCACTCATCTGTCATAGAGTTGTTCTGTTGGGCCTCTTAAGGAAACATAACAATGTTTTGAAAAAGACAGTGTTTACATGCTTCAGGAAAATCAACCTACGAATGACTGACTTATATTTGTCCCTAAAAATGGCTTATTTATAGCTGTCTCTACACATTATGCTGGGTGCGGAGAAAGTATTTTAACATCGAAACAATTACACACATCAGCTCTAAAATGAAGACACACATCACAAGAGAGAGTGAACTGAGAATGAACTATTATTCATTTAAAGAGAAACATAAGAGATGACACACCCACACATATTTATTCATGTAAATGAAACCATGCCACTTATTCTGTTAAAATTCTGTTAAAAATTAATACTTACTCGGCAATGACACATTAAAGGAATAGTTCACCCAAAAATGAGTGTTTGCTGAAAATTTACACACCTTCAGGCCATCCAAGATGTAGGTGAGTTTTTCTTCCTCTGAACAGTTTTAGAGAAATTTAGCAATGTACATCATTTGCTTACCAATAGATCCTCTGCAGTGAATGGGTGCCGTCAGAATGAGAGTCCAAACAGCTGATATGAACATCACAATGATCCACAAGTAATATGAAGTATAAGGTAAGACTAGCCAATATGGATAAAAATGTATATATCCATGTTTCTATTCAAGAAACCTTAAAAAATCATGGTTTCCACAAAAATATTAAGCAACACAACTGTTTTCAACATTATTATTAATAATAATAATAATAAATGTTTCTTCAGCAGCAAATCAGAATATTAGAATGATTTCTGAAGTATCATGTAACACTGAAGACTGAAGAAATTATGCTGAAAATTCAGCTTTGATATTACTGGAATAAACTGCATTTTATAATATATTCAAATTTATATACGGTTTCATTTGTATTAATATTGCTGTATTATATAATACATAATAAGCAGTATTACTGGGGATCAGTCTTATCAACCACAAACATTTGAACGGCAATGCAGTTATATTTTATAAACCCAACCCCAGTAGATTGCTGGTCTTAGCTGGTTACTTGTTTTTATTATATAGATTTATATATATATATAATTTTTTTTAAACATAAAACATTAAAGAAAAATAAAAAACATTAGTCAATTTATAAAATATTTATTTTTCCAAACAAGAACATTCACAGATTTCCCCAGATGAAGGTTTTGTCAGATTTAGGTCAATTAAACAAGAAAAATCACATACACCCTCAGACTACATAGTCACATACATAAACATGAATGGCAGATCCTTGATATTACAGCTAAATTACAGTTTCATGTGGCATATCCTTAGATATAACACAAACCGCTTGAACAGAGACATGGATTATGAATAGAGATAAACAGTGAGACAGTATGATACACAGTAAGAGGCAGATGAAGATGAAGATGCTAACTCACAGTGACAGTCAGAGAGAAACAGTAAGAGAAGGAGGACCACTAAGAGGAAGGGCTAGACAGGGACACAGATGGGAAAAGACAGAAAGGTTCCCTCAAGCTCAGTCATTTGTTTTCATGTTGGATGGTAGGAGGTGGTTCAGGCCAGTGGCTGTCAACTAGTTTTGCTTCAGGACACCGATTTTTATACTGGACATCAAGTATCAGATTTGTTTATCGCACAAAAGTAAATAAAATATCTGTTTTTGTGTTCTCAGCAGTCAATAATTCACTGCGCAAAACACATTGTGGCACAAGCCATGTTTATCCCTGCAGCAAGTGAAGCGTATTTAGGACACATCATGCAGCCTGTCTGTGCTGGCGTCTGCCTAATTTGACTTGTGACACATGAATTTGCGCCAAATTACTGTAGAGCTTGATTGGCCGCACAATCTTTAACATCTGTAGAAGGTATGGGAGTTTTCTTCTTTCTTTCACTGTGAAAAAAAAAAAATATATATACATATATATATTTCATTTTATTATTTACATTTAACATTGGGATTGTATTTGCTGTCAGGACAGACATCTAATCTAGTTTTAGATTGTGACATGCAGATTGAGAAGCATTGGTTTAGAGAGACCTAGAGAAAGGAGAATAAGAGAATTTTTTATTATTTTTTTTATTTTTTATTTCTGGAACAAAATCATCTTCATTCTTATTCCGGTTCTTCTATTGCCCTCTGGTGGCTGATTGTGGAAGTTAATTTAGCCTTCTTGTGCAAGATGCCTTAATATTATGTGGTGAAATACATTTATTTTTTAAATGTATTATAAATAAATGAATAATTTACTGTACTTAATGTATTTAGTTTAAATTTAACTTAATATATTTGGTTTGATAATTAATAATAATTGGTTTAATAATTCAATTAGATACAATTTTGTATCAATTTGGATTACACAGTTTTAACACTAATAAACTTAATGTGATGCATACACTCTTAAAAATAAAGGTGCTTCAAAAGGTTCTTCACAGTGATGCCATAGAAGAACCATTTTTTGTTCCACAAAGAACCATTCAGTCAAAGGTTCTTTAAAGAACCATCTCTTTCTTACCTTTTTATCATCTGAAGAACCTTTCGCCACAAAGAACCTTTTCTGAAACAGAAAGGTTCTTCAGATGTTAAAGGTTCTTTATGGAACCATTTAGACAAAAAAGGTTCTTCTATGGCATCGTGAAGCACCTTTATTTTTATGAGTGAACTGTATTTGCCATATATGAATGAATTAATGAATGAATGAATTAATAAATAAATAAGTGTACTTAGTTTAATGTATTTGGTTTAATAATTAATAATAATTGGTTTAATGATAATTTAATTGCATATAACATTTGTATCGATTTGGATTACACAGTTTTAACATTAATAATTAAGTACGATTTCTGTAATAGAACTAATAACCCGAATGTGTTTTATATATGCAATAACCAGGTATTTATGATCAGTAAATCCAACTAGTGTCAATCTCATATATTTTTAACTCATTATTTTTAAATCATTAATGTAAATCTATCTATCTATCTATCTATCTATCATCATCTTTCATCATCTTTTACCTGTTTCATTTACATCTCACTACAAATAGGCATCACGCTAAGTTTAAGAGTTTATGTTAAAACTCTGTAATCCTTTCTAAGTTGTAAATTTAAAAACTATTTTAAATTATTTTGGTATGTTTTACAAAAAAAACTTCAGTCTTTCAACTTCAACGTTTCACCAGCAACTATATAAATAATGTTAAGAGTTTAACATTAAATCTGTTTGTCATCTCAAATAAATTAATGATTTTTCAAAGATGGAAAGTTTCAGACATTTCAGTCATTAGTTTGTATGCTAAAGTGCTTTATTTTTGTAAGCTGCACTGATGTAATGAAAGATGTGACCTCTTCAGTCCTGCTGCAGTCCTGGTCTGTGGGTTTGTAGTGATTACAACTTTTTAAAATTGGTTTGGTACCATTTTCACAAGCAAGTGGTACATTTTCAAAACTCTTAGTACTAATCTCGCAAAAAATCATCAAAAGTGCACTTTTTTCAAACATTTCAGCATATTTTCAATTGTTTTAGTACAATACACACAATCACAAAATATCCTTTTCACTACACAAAATAAGTGTTTCATCTATATAAATGTTTCATTTTGACAGTAACTGCCTTTCATAAAGCTTTTACAATCAAACTTTTCACTTGCATGACTTCTCATTCAGTTTAATACATTTTTTCTATTATTTAATCTAAGTCATCTTAATGGTTAATCAGTGAATCATTTGGTGCATCTATAGATATAGATTCAATAGATATATAGTTTCTATAGAACGCGATTGCAATTTAGGGATAAACGAATGCAATGAATTATTTTTACACAAAATGTGATTTATCTAAGATGATAACCACTATTTTGTAAGTGTGTGTGTGGTTCAGCGAAACCCTATTTTATGGGGACAAAATGTCCCCACAAAGATGGCAATATCTGAAATCATTGTCCTTTTTTTGGATCCAATGAGAATTTTTATTTTTATTTTTGTAAGGCTATTTAGGAGTAGGGTTAGTGTAGGGGGAGACAGTATAAAACCCATTACTCCTATGGAATGTCACCATAATGATAGGAAAGTTTCATTCACAGTAACTGCCTTTCATAAAGCTTTTACAATCAAACTTTTCATTTGCATGACTTCTCATTCAGTGTAATACATTTTTTCTATTATTTAATCTAACTCATCTTAATGGTTAATCAGTGAATCATTTGGTGCATCTATAGATATAGATTCAATAAATATTTAGTTTCTATAGAATGTGATTGCAATTTAGGGATAACCAAATGCACTGAATTATTTTGACACTAGTGATTTATCTAAGATGATAACCACTATTTTGTAAGGGTGTGTGTGTGGTTCAGCTAAACCCTATTTTATGGGGACAAAATGTCCCCACAAAGATGGCAATATCTGAAATCATTGTCCTTTTTTTGGATCCAATGAGAATGTTTATTTTTATTTTTGTAAGGCTATTTAGGAGTAGGGTTAGTGTAGGGGGAGACAGTATAAAACCCATTACTCCTATGGAATGTTTGTAAAACCGTGTGTTTTGCTATTTGTGAACATACAGCAGGACACAAGGGAGAGGAACTGATCAGAGATGTATCAGAAGGGAGACAGATGGCATCAAA